TTCTTTGCAAAGGAGCAATAGACAAACACCTCACACAAGAAAATAACCAGCAAGAAAGCCAAGAAGTCCCAAACAGAGAAATAAGTGATACACCAGCCCAGCACCTCGCAGCCTGGTCAAACTGTTGCTCCTGTATGTGCAAAGCTGCAGGAAGCATCACCCATACCCACGTGTAGGTGGTCATCTGGAGGCAGCAGCAAGGACCCTCTTCGCTGAAGCATGCAAGGGGTTTTTTGGCAGGGCGGAAGCCCCTGTGGTTAGAGAAGGAAACCACAAGATGTTCACAAAAAAATATTTTAAAAAAGCATACCCCTGGGACGTGGGGCTTTATTGGTGGGTTTCAGATCACAGACCACCTGCCTTGCACAAAGCACCTTCTGCAGAGCAATTGCAAAGAAGAATTGCAACGAGAGCGACTGAGCACCTGAAGAACTCAGCTGCGTGTTGGTAGTGCATGTGCTTGGAGATGGAAAATATGCATGGATGTAAGCCATGGGACACCCATGTCTTGCTTGCTGGGCGATGAAGTAGGGTGTGCTCTGCCATCCACACGAGACCCCTCGAGTGCGCACAGGCGAAGGCAGCAGAATCCCTGCCAACAAACACAACCTGGGGCCCACAGCCAAGGCATGGGGCTTGTCCATGACTTCTGCAGAGTGGGAGCTGCTCTGAAGCCCGCGACGGCTGGGAGACAGCGGGCTGCGGTGGCTGATCCTACCTCAGGCACGAGCATCATCAGTCTGAACCTCTACAGAAGTCATCAAGACAAAATTCTTGAATCACCATGAAGAACCAGGAACAATAAATGAGCCCAAATTCTGGGTTAGAACTGAAATTCTTCAGAAATCTTTTTGTTTTCCCTTCCTTTTATCACAGATGCTGAACCACCTCTCTTTACCCAAGAGGGTCCCGATGACATCACATCCTCTCCAAAGAGCGACGCAGCCTCCTAAGTCAAGCGAGATCATCTCTGCTCCGCTGCACGCACCCACCCCAAGGACAACCACCCCTAGGAGAAGATGGCCGGCTCTCCTGCACTGCTCCTTCTCCTCGCTCTGGGGCTCTGTGAGTACGGACACAGCATTTGTGCATCACCATCCCCGGGAGGGGCAACCAAAACCCTTCCACGGGATCCAAGCAATTGGGCTAAATAGGTAAAGGGGACATAGAAAGCAAACCCAAAAGGCTGACTTTGAGGTTTGCTCAGTAATTGTGGGGCTAAAGGCGGCACCACCTCAGCCCGGGCAGGGCAGCCAGAGGGGTGGCTGCAGCATCATACGCACCGGGAAGGGAGCCCGGTCAGAGAAAAGGTTCTGGAGGGGAGAGGGGAGGGGGAAAAGAGGGTTGAGCAGTCAGTGGGTTTAGAGAGTCACTGCCAATAAGCTGGGAAGGGTACCATCCCGAGAAGGCAGCTGAAGAGCTTTTCTGAAGGGCAGCACCCATCTTTAAAGCCCGGCTGGCTGATTGCTGAGCACCCTCCCCCAGCGGGGCCAGCGGCTGGAGCTGCAGTGCCATTCCGACAAGGAGGACAGCGGCGTATCCTGGGTCCGCCAGGACAAGGATGGGACCCTTCACTTCATCGTCTTCATTTCCTCCCTGGGCCGGACCACCTTTGAGCGGAATGAGGGGACAGCCACACGCTTTGAGGCAAGAAAAGACAACAGCTTCTACCGGCTGGTAGTGAAGTCTTTCATGACACAGGATGAGGGGAACTATTTCTGCCTCATGAACAGCAACCAAATGCTGTACTTCAGCCCTGGCCAGCCTGCCTTCTTCCCAGGTCAGCAACACCTCTACTCAACCTTGCTTAGCTCTGCCAAAATGCCCAGCACCCGCTCCCCATGCCTTTTTTAACCAGTTGCCTCTCCCATAAACCTCATTGCCCTGCTTGCTTGCCCAAGGCATCTTGTGACCACCGTACCTGCCCTCCTACCAGAGGCTCCCTGCTTGCTATTTCTTTGCATGGCACCACTCCTGCCCAAAGGCAAAGATGAACGGGCAGACCCAGCATCACCTCCCCATCCCCACTTCTCTGTCCCATTCGTGGCTCTAAAGGCATGAGAGAGAAGGAAAAGGCCACCACCAACACCACCACCCCCTTCCTCACCTCACCTAGGTCCCAAAGGTCTCACCAACCTCTGAGGGCTCAGGCTTTCTGAGGGTGGTGGCAGAAAGCAAGAAATAAGGAGGCTGCAGCTCCTTATTGGGTCTTGGGAGACCCTTCTTGGGAGGGGGTCACTATCCAAAATGGGCTCCATGAAGTCCCCCGGGACCTGAGCCCTGCACCAGCCACAGGAGCAGCTGTGCCATGGCAGGGG